CAACAACAAATATGAATGACGACGACACAGAGAGCAATTTTGATCACCAACTTTCTTTAATGAATCAAGAGATTTAAGCTATTTCTTTGGTTCATGGTTTTTTTGACCACACAGATCAGACTGATATGTATCTAATTGAAATTTAAAGTGAAATGTACGAATCTCAAATGTATGGGCATAACACATGACATGCTGTGCCATCCCTTTAGCTAAGGGGATATCCTATACCGCTGAAGGTAACCAAGGTGTTAATAAATGTGTAGCCTAGCAACCAGGTGATGTCATACTAATTGCTTATGAAATGGCTGCAAAGCCAAGGGAATGCGGCAAGGCGGGCTGGAAGATATCGAGACATAAACGTTGAATATGAGCATGTGAGCAGTCCAGCTAACTATTACTGCCTGAATTGGGAAACTATGGTGCTCTGCTGTGCGATCGCAGATGCTGTGAAGCTGAGAAAAAGTAGTGGATCGAAACATACAAGCCAGGACCATCGGTGTTCCCGTTTTACAAAGCTCTCAATACGGTTTGTTGCAAAACCCCAGGTCTCACTTGTAGTTTGCAAAACGTTTTCCTGGCTAAGATGCTTGCTCGCTGCCGGTTTTCTAGACTCTTCTCTCTGAATCGCTTGGCTCTGTCTTACTTGGCTTTCTGTGCATGTTTGCTTGTCAAAAAAGGTAACAGACATTGTTTGACTGCACAGTGTTTGTGTAAACTGTTACTGTTTTTCCTTGGCAATACTCATTGACTTAATTGACGCCACATCCTGGCAAAGAACTAGGTTGCTGCTGTGGGACTGGGAATAGCGGTACCTTTGAGGATTAGCTAAACTAGGCTACAAGAAACAGAATACGGAGCTTTATTGGAAAATGTAAAGTGTATACAGACAGAAATTCTTTCGCGTAATCAACAGAAACTACAGTTCCAGTAAGAGTCTGCAGACTGACTCTGAGAAGTGAACGTCTCCTGTAAAAACTGTACCAGCTGTTGTAAACACCTGTGAATGGAGTCTACATGTTCCACGTTTCAAGGTGTGAGTGTGTCGCGTTTCAGCAGCAGTGGCCACTGCCCACGAAGAGTCCGACAAGTGCTAGAGGAACATTGGTGTTGTTGAACACAGAGCACTTATTGTTGTTCCCTCTTGGATCGCCACGAAACCTGTACCAGTGTGTAGCAAAATGATAGGGCTACATAATAGTTAGATGCTGATTCGAGGTAACTACGCGTGGTAGAAAGCCGAGAGCCCCGGCATTGTGGCGCCCCGAGCGCAGCGAGGGCGCTACCCCCGGGGCACGAGGCTTTCTACTGCGCGTGGTTACCGAGGAATCAGCGTCTAACTATTTTAGAGTGAGCGCACTCACGTTCACGTTCAATCGCACAAAGACGAAAATGGAGCTCTCGCAAATGTAGTATCCTGGACTGGCTCGACACGGACGACCTCACGGACTTCTTGCTGGCGAAAGCCAGCGACGACTACGAGAACACGCATGCGCCCGCTTCTACGCCAACGCACACCAGCCCCTCCCACTCTTTGACCGCGAGCGCCTAAGACGAAGGAACCAGCTCCGCCCGCTCTTCAAGCTCTAACAACCCCGAGCAGCAGCAAACTGGAGCTATACCTCAGCACCCCAACACTGGTGCTACTGCCCCCCTTGCTGGATAGGAGGCTGCAATCCAGTCCTGCAGTTCTAGCGAACTTCAACCGCGATACGATTCGCGGCCCCGAAAACAAACGAGGAAATAGAAGAGGCAAGAAGGCGAGGAATACCTCGACGTACCATGCAGGACACAGAGTATTGCATGAGGTTGTGGGAAGAGTGGCGAAAGCATAGAAACTCCATCACTGCAGAGAATATTTCCCCCCTCATGGAACTTTCCGAACCTGAACTCAACCAGTGACTGACATGCTTTGTTTTGGAGGTTAGAAAGAAAGATGGTGCTGTGTACCCATCAAACACTCTCCATCATCTTGTGGCTGGGTTGATTCACCACATGAGAGGGAATGGTCGACAGGTAGACTTCAGGGTTTTCCACATTCAGAGCGTCATTAGATGCTGAAATGAAGAGACTGTCAAGGGAGGGGGTGGGATCAAAGAAGAAGCAAGCTGAGATCATAACGGAGGAGGAGCAAGAGCTACTGTGGGTGAAGGGAGTTCTTGGAGATGAAACACCCCAATGTCTGCTGGATACAATGATTTTCTACAATGGGTTGTGTTTTGCCCTCCGCAGTGGTCAGGAGCACCGCCAACTTTGCCACAAACCATGTCAGATAGAGGTGGTGGACCGACCAGATTAAAGACCATATCTGCTTTACACAGAAGATGCGTCAAAAAATCGGCCTGGGGGATTGAAGGGGCGCAATACAGCACCAAAGGTTGTGAAACATCATACCAACCTCGAGGTACCTCAACGATGCTTGTGCGCCTCTTCAAGAAGTACTGGTCACTCTGCCCCCCTGATGCTCCTCTGCAGCCTGCACGAACACCATCTCCATCTTGCTGGTACTCCAAGAGACCCCGGCCACAACACCCTCGTCAAAACAGTTTCCAGAATGTGTAGTTCTGCAGGCATTCCAGGCTATAAGACAAACTATTCACTTCGTGCGACATCAACCAGCAGGTTGTACCACTCAGGGATCGATGAACAGCTTGTAATGGAACGAACAGGCCACCGGAGCATCGATGGAGTTCGATCCTACAAGAGAACCTCTGAGGAACAAAGAGAGGCTCTGTCTGACATCCTCAACAGGAAAACACCACGAGTATACACGCAATCCACACTCTCTCTCCCCTCCTCAACAGTGCCAGCACCAATCCCCGCACAGAACATAATCCAAACGTCTGCACATAATCAGCTACAGGGTCTCAACCTATCTTCAGCTATGTTTTCCAACTGCACTGTTCATTTTAACATTGGCACCAACCCCCACCATCATTAGTAGCGTGTATATAGGTTCCTTTACTCAGTTCAGGACATATGCAGCACTGTCTACTTTCACTTGTAAAACATGCACTTTCATGTACATTTCCCAGATAAGAGTGACATGGAATTTACATCTGACTGTAGTTTCTGTAGGTTTACTATATAGTAAACCCCGTCGAGGTTTCCTATGGGAAATAGTAAACCTCGGCTTTGCAATCTGATTGGTCAATTCGAACCTAGCTCACTCTAAATATATAGAACTGCTCCTAGAATCATTGGTTGCACACGGAGATATTAGCTGTGGTATAATATGGACAAAAATTTTGATTTGATCCAACTAAGAATATTATGCAGACATAAACTTCACAGGCTTATCTAAACAGTCCAAGGTACGTACATGCAAGTTGAATTGAGGCAGAAATAGAGCTGCAGAAGGTGTGTATTTAGGAGCTACTCCATGGCCAAATCAGCTGCATCTTGCACTGTGCTCAACTACACCCATATTCCGTGACCACTCATCGGACCCTTCTTGGACGGCGGCCTCTGCTGCCAAAACGTCACGTGCCAGCAGCTTGAAACACGGCATATGTGGACTTCATTTATAGGTGTATACAACCGCTGGCACACTTTTTGTCGAGAGACGCTCACTTCCTGGAGCGAGCCTGCAAAAATCTACCTTCATTACACTAAGGAATGTGGTCACGTAAGCTTTTCCATAAATCTCTGTACTCTGGCACTTGGTGGTACAACGGAAAAGTTTCAGGTACCCTCTTAGGAACACACGCAGTGCATTACGCTGTTTAGTTTTATGTGTGAGGACGATGTGATCATAATTGAGGTTATGATAATACAAGAGCCACAGGCTAGTCTATTACGTAATCGGATTGTTACTGCATTGTCTGAGCGCACTAATTTTATACCACATAATGCAGTAGATGGTGCGTTCCAGAGATTTTAGTGACCTTCTGCCAGTTGGATTCAAGGCTGCATTTAACCATAGCACACCTGTCGGCTTTTCCAGCCAGGTCTTCTAGTAGACAGCCTCCCTCACGTGTGTCTGTAGTGCGTGAGTAAACTGCGTGCCTCTTGAGGAGAGTTGCATGTTGTTGCTGGCAGTGATAGAGTGATTGTTTGTCTGTTGGGTTGGTATCAAGCTCTGCCCATAGTGTGTGATGTCTATACAATGCGGGAGACGTTTTCTGCCTTCCTTTCTGTAAGTTTTAAATTTGATACAATGCTGTAGCACCGTCCAGCCATCAAGCATGCATCAAGCATTGCACAGCTACTTGTCCATCTCTGCCCCTCTGCCCATACCACACCCTGCCAACTAACTGCCAACCATTTAATGCACACTTTCCAGTGCATTACCAGCTATTTCCAACTTTTCAGTGCAAATGGAAGGATCTGATTGGCCTAACGTGACATGGCCAGCACTATTAAGGAATTAAACAAAGTATTAAAAGCAAACAAATTATCCTTAAAGTAGTGGAATTCAAACAATTAAGTTAAATATTGTGGTCCTTGGGTTGGGCTGATTTGTTGTCATCTTTATGTTCCCATATTAATTTTAACAACGTACTGACTTCCATTTTCAAGATCTTGCAATGTTGCAAAGTACCAAGCTTGTCATCATGATCAAGTTGGTTTCTGCCAGTCATTTTGGCAAACGATGATATAAAACGCGCCATGCGACATGCGCTATTGCAGCCTATTTACGTAGTTGTATTGTTAAGGCTTGAAGGCTCCCTACACACTACTACTGTTGCTTGCGTGTGTTAAACTCTCAGCTAGCTAGCGAGAGACCACGGGTAAAAGTAACAGAATAGCCCACCTCATTTAACAGTGTTACTCACCTTCACATGCATATGGATTTTTACATGTTTCGAGTGGGCTGAGGATTGTACTCCAGTGCTTTGCATTTTTATTCCATACCTGTGTTCACATTTCAAGAAGAACTGTACTTCTTTCGAGAGCATATTTTTCTTCACTGTTCTTAACTGTTTTATGCTGCAAATGTCTGCTATGTGGAACCTATTTAACTCATGCAGTTTACTTGATACCTTGCTTTATTTTTTTAGCAAACTCATCAATGCATCTGTGTCTGGTACTGTGGATGAACGAGCTATCAACAAAGGGAAACTGAACACTTTCACAATTCATGAAAATCAGACCCTGGCACTTAACTCTGCATCATCAATTGGGTGTAACATCATCAACATTGGTCCCCAGGACATAATGGAAGGTAGACCTCATCTCATCCTGGGACTCTTGTGGCAAGTTATAAAGGTTTGTATCTAGCTTTACTGTGTCTGATGGTTTGAAACACTTTTGCGGTACCATTTTGTATTTCAGTGCCTTTAAATTGGAAGGTTGGTTGTGCATGTCCGTTACACACAAAGGTATAAACAGCACCGTGGTAGGTGGTGTTGTAAACACGTCAATATACTTCAACTTTCACCTGTGTTTTTGCGCTTGGAAAAAATTAATTGCACAAGAGACTTGGTTGTGGCACCTACAAGTAAAAGAAGGTACTATGAGCGCTGCAAGGCGTAGATCGATGATGTTCCTGAGACAGGTGTTCTTAATTCATCGTAACAAAAGAAAACATCAATCTGTATGTAGGTAGATATTAAGTTTGTTGAATTTTTTTAGATTGGCCTGTTCGCGAAGATCTCCCTCCAGAACTGTCCAAACTTGGCAGTGCTACTGCAGGAAGGGGAAACCTTGGAAGATCTCATGGCCCTTTCACCCGAGGAAATTTTGTTGCGATGGTTCAACTACCATTTGGAGCAAGCTGGTCACCCCCGTCGTGTCAACAACTTCAGCTCTGATATAATGGTAAGCTCTTAGGTTAAGCCTAAAATTGTAGCCTGACTGGAGGGAGTGTACGAATTATATTGTGTGGCCATTTACATAGTACGCAGCTTCATGAGTGATGATAAACTATTTACCGCATGGGTGTCGTGTAGTAGTGCCTCTTCACAGCCTGTCCTTTTGGGCTGAGTAGTGCCTCTTGCAACCTAGCCTGGTTGTAGCATGCTGCCTGCTCTTAGCTAATTTCTCGCCTATTATAGCCTCACTCCATACCCCCAGCTGAAAGCAGAAAGAGGGTGAGTGATGCCAAGATAACCCATGTTTCTTCTGGGGTGGACTGGTTTTTCTGTTTGAACTTCGATGCCGTACGCAACAAATTGGTGATTAAGGGCCAGGACACGAATCAGGGAGCCTTGCTTGCGCACAGTTACAACCTGACTTTTCTTGCTTTGTTTTCTTTTTGAGACCATTCAAATACGTTTGCTAAAACAGTATGGGAGCCACACAATCATTTGGTTTTTACAGTATTAATGTAGCAACAAATAACTAATTATACCAAGCCCACTCTTTTCTCAGTTTTAGACGTGCAGATTTTGTATGTTATAGTATATATGCTGGTTAGAAAGGCAAGCAGGCATGTCATGGATTACTGCGGGATGTCTTGAAGACATGAGGGCTTTGTACTGAAACCCACATTACCGGAAAAGCCATTATTGTTTGCATGGTCTTTGGCAAATAAAGTGTGTAACTGCCTCATAACTGTTTATACAAGCAAATTGAACTACGTCAACAATTGCGAGACTGGACCGATGGACTGGACTAGTGGACTGGACTACAAACGTTGATTCGACATGCATGTGAAAAGCCGACACGTATATATAACACTGATATTGATGCTGCATACGTATGAACATCATTAACTCCCCATCTAATATTGATAGTAGAATGGCAGTAGAAGGACAGTGGAAGGGCAGAAGAATTGCAGTAGTATGTGTAGTAGAATAGCAGTAGAATGGCAGTAGAATGGCAGAAGAATGGACAGTAGAATGGCAGAGAATTAGCAGTAGAATGGCAGTATAATGGACACTAGAATGGAAACGCTCTAGTCCGCATCACTGTGCATGTAGTGTCTTACGTTTACAAGGTTTCTTTTCTCTTCCTGCTGGTATTCCGTGTACTTTCAGCTGTGAGAAATTAGGGTTTTTTCTTTCGAGAAGAAAAAAGCAGTGATAGGTGTGTTTGTTAACCCTTGGCACACATACGCAGCGAGGGTTACTGAACTTTGTTTGTATATGTGACCCGCTACGGGAAAACGTCCATTTTCGCGCAAAATGTATTGTTGAGATACGGGTGAAAATAGCTGAAACTTGGTCCCTCGTAGCAAAACGGGATTATGACATAGGAAAAAACTATAGCCTTTCCTTTTCGCGCTGGAGCGATGTTCGTGTGCCACTCCTGCCGCTCACAGCGTCCTCACAAAGACGCGAGGTCCAGCCCAGAATTCGTGCACGGTGCACGTGAAACGATAAATGTGCGGAGCGCGTTTACCAACAATTACGGGTTACCAAGGAAACTCTCTAGACAAACAACATGGCTTCACCAGCTGATACTGCGACCACAGAGACCGTAGCGGTAGCGCTACGCGAGCTAGCGCTCTCGCAAGGCGATCAGGAGGGCCTAGCTGAGTTCCTGACGGAGTACTTCGCCTCTAATAACAATGAATTTTTATCTGGTAAGTAAAAACACAGTGTAGATAGAGAAACATAGCTAAATAACAGAGAGCTCCACTGGCGCCCCCTCGTCCACTGCAAATGTGCCCCTGACACCTGCAACCAGCATTCAGCAGCCACCAGCCAAGCGGGCACGCGTTTTCAGCCACTGCAATACCTCTGGCCACAACGCCTGCACCTGTCGGAAAAAAGCTGATTCTCTCTCTCCATTTCCCCTCCCTCTTACACTCTCTGACCCTCTCCTAACCTTTTCGCTTTCAACATTATATCCCTGTCGTCTATCCCACCCTTAGCTGAAGTTAACCCTATAAAAATGGTTGTGCGCTGCGTACTTCAGATTGGGGCAGTCTGCGCGAGTATCTGCCGTTTCTCTGATGTAGGTATATCTTACCTCAAGTCCTGGAAGATAGTCCTTCGTCCATGAGATCCTCTGATCCACGGTAGGCCTCCAGAACACCACACACACACGCACCGAATCCAAACCGTGTTGCATTACGCGCGGTAGTATACGGGAAACGCGCATTATTCAGAATTGTATGATGACTGAGAGTAAGATCAAAGGAATTCCAGCTAGTCCAAACAACATACACACGTAGTGAGCGCTTCCTGCTGAGTTTACAGGTAGTTATACTATAAAGAGGCCATACGATTTCCCCATACTTTAGCTGTATGTCAACTCATTTGCGTAAACCACAGTGGGTATACGATAGTAGGAAATTGGCAGAGTGTAATGCAATAGACCTTTTAGTTTTATCGAGAGGTATGTGCGCTATGTAGCGTGACGTCAAAATTGACCGTGACGTCAACATCCGGAGTACGTTCTTCGCGTTTCACAGGAGCGTATATATGGCAGCATATCTTAGTCTCGAAGACGCTACGACAATCGAACAACTTGGAGGACAAAGTTTCGGCAGATACCGCTATAAATGTATATACGGTAGCGTATTGTTCTGCGCTCTGTGTAAAAGTGCGCACTATTGCCGTAGGCTGCCATACATTACGCCGTGAAGGAATGTACTCCAGTGGTGACGTCAATAGCAATTACACGTAATTGCATATTTCAGCCTCTTAAACGAAAAAGCCTATTGGGCTGCTTTTACACTCTGTGTGCTGCCGTTTCTTTACCAGAAGGGAGTGTTTTCAGGCTGGAATGGCCAGAAACTGCTCTAGTATATAAGCGGTCTGAAAACTAGCGAAAGCTGCTTCCCGACGCGTAGGCTCCCGTAGACTGGAACAGTATGTGACTTTCTTGCTACTGCAACAGGCTGCATTCGAGAGTGCTGGGTATAGCGGGAGGGAAAGCGAGCCAGAGTGGCAGCTACAAAACTCGTGTGGAGTCTAGCAGCGAAAAAGTATAGCTTTGACGTACCTGTAACGTTGAACTCTCGAGAAATGACCATGGCTTCTGCACAACCGCCCAGCTTGACAAAACTAAAGCGCTTATTGCAGCTGTCTCTCTCCCGATCGATCGCTAGCTAGCTATAGCTCTCTCCGTACACTCGAGGGTGTGCGTTAAAAAGAGGGCGTTTTGAAAGCTTTTTCGCAATCTCGTTGGTCCGAGCCTTACCGCCGGATGTCATCATACAAGCACGTTATACGATGGCTTTGCTTGTGGTTTACTGGTTGTACACTCGTGGCTTCAGTTTTGATAGACCACTCGGGCTACGCCCTCGTGCCCTATCCGGCCACTCGTGTAAAACCAGTAAACCACGCGCCGCCATCGTATGACCTATACATAGCGCGTAACTAGGGGCCACGACGCTTCCGTTTATAACGCATGGCAGGAAAGGGCTACGAACGCGGGGTTTGCGTCATCGTAAAGCGTCGTGCTTTCTAACGGTACCCGTAACGCAATAATTTTGCGCGAAAATGTACGTTTTCCCGTAGCGGGTCACATATGTTTGTGTGTCTCTATTTCTGTCTGTCTATTACCACTTTTTCTGCCCATCACACTCAAAGAGACAGCAATACCAAAAGGTTCAGCACTTCATTTGGTTGATGTTATTATCTTACTAGTAGTGTTGCTACCCATGGCAAACACTCAGCAAAGTTGCAAGGTGCTATGATTATATTAAAAGAGCCCAGACCATGGAGCGGTTCTACACATGTGTATACTTACGCACCCGTGTTTCTGGTGCACTACTTTTCATTGGGGGTAACCACCACTACACAATGGGAACATTCCCAGTGATTTTTGTAATTCAGACAGTCCCCATTGCACTTTTATCGGCCCCATTGCATGGCAAAACAGGTTTTGACGATGACGCACCTTATGCTCATTCCTTTTTAACAGGGACTAGATGCATTTAAGCTGATTCAAAACATTCGTGGGAATGCATTTTGCTGCATGAGACAGGGTATGACCTCCTGTGTCCTTTTTTGCTGTGGTAATTGCTTAGATCACTTGTCATTAACATAATTCAAGAACAAAAGAAGTGGGTACCACATAAGGCACAGATAATAAGGACTTAGCTGAGATTTGATGGCAGTTTGTAAGGGAAAATGTGGTTTGTTCCATGTAAATGTGGTTGACATGCCTGATGGAACAGGACATGTAAGAATTTTTTGCCTCCTCCTAGCAAGTTGCCGTAGAAAGGGTGTCAACACAATAGCGCATGCACAATGCTTGCGGAACCTCTATTAAATGCACGTTTTTTCCACTGCTGTACAAATGTGTGCCCGAATTCACGAATATATTAATGAGGCATCCTAAAGTCCCAAAAAAATTGTTCTTGTTCCTTGGAATAATAGAATTCAACCGATGAAATTTAACATTTCTGGTACCCCCTAAACCGACACAAAGAGGTGCATATGGGGTTTTAACTCATTGCGCGTGGATCGCCTATGTATAGGCCATACACGCAGTAAGGAGCTAGCGCGGATGGCTTATATACAAGCCATAAGAGCTGGCACGGAAAATCAACTTACACACAGTAGGTAAAGACACCATCTCCAGTTCGCAGAGCACTGGCAGCCACAGTTTGTGATGTACTTTGACCTCAAGAGTAGTTGCAGCGAAAAATGGCAGGGCTGTTATGCGCACTTCGCGCAGCTGTCCATGAGCAAAAAAAGTGAACAGCGATGGCTGCATACGCCGCACAGGAAGCTGTAGGTTTGCTAGACATGTCGTTTAGTGATTACAGTGATTTAGATGATGACCCATATTTTCCACTGCCTGGATCAGAAACAGATAGCAATACAAATGGTAAGTTAGTGTACAGAATGTAATAATATCGGAGAGATCTACGAGTGAGTTTGGGAACAGAGAAGAAAGAAATCAGAGGTTGAATAGATGTGGGAGAGGGACAGGGAGAGGAAGGAGGGGTAGGGATGGAGGGCCAAGGCAAAGAACAGTGACAGGGAGAGAAAGAGGACACAATAGCAGCTCTATCCCGTGGGCTTCAACAACGCCAGATAGTGACACACAACCACTACCACCAAGCTTCACAGAATCCCCAGGACCACGCCTTGATCTTCCAGATGACACTCTGCAAATTCACTTCCTAAGAGAACTCCTCACAGCAGATATTGTTGGTCTGACAGTGACGGAGACAAACAGGTAACATACACATAATGTGTACAATTCAAAAGTATTCCCACACATCTACTGTACTCGCTCGGGTATGCATCTGAAAAAGATTTCCAAGCTCCAAGCTCAGGGAAACCTTGGGCAACAATCCCGTTTCCGAAAGTGGACGTGCATCACAATAGAGGAATTCTATGGGTTTCTCGCTATCATCATCAACATGGGGATTATAAAAGTCCCTGAGATGGAGGACTATTGGAAAACGTCCTGGGTATGTGGGATACCATTTTTTACCCGCATCATGCCACGAGATCGGTTTGAGCTTCTTTTTTTTGATGCTGCATGTCTCCCAACACTGAAGGTAGCACAGAAAGGAGGATGGAGAAGGTGAGCATGCTACTGACACCTTCCAAGACTGCTACTATCCCAAACGTGATCTGGCAGCTGATGAAACCATGCTTGGGTTTAGGGGGCATTTCGGTCCCCTGCAATACATGCCAAACAAACCCACAAAGTGGGGAGTACAATGTTTTACTATGGCTGACAGCAGCAATGGGTATGTCCTCAATGTGCTGGTGTACACCGGAAATGATACACTAGATGGTGTAGCGTACCCCACTCTTCCACAGCCAGCACGAATTGTGCTCCACCTCACCACTCCGTACCTAGGAGAAAGTCACCATGTGTACACAGACCGGTACTACTACACAAGCATACCTCTAGTGCAAACTCTTCATCCTCAAAACACAGCATTCACTGGCACCATCAATCAAAACAGGGCAGACTTACCAGATGAATTCCGCAGTGGTTGTAGGCTAGCACGAGGAGAGTTCGTTGCGTACAGACATGACCACTTGATGGCTTTGGCATGGCGTGCTGAGAAAGAAAAGAAACCTGTCCTCATGTTGTATACTTGCGCATCAGCAGCTACCGCCACGATAAGGTTACAGAATCCCTATTCTGCACCCACTAAAAAGCCTGTTGTTGTTGACACCTACAACCACAAAATGAATGGTGCTGACATCGCAGATCAGCACACAGTGTACTACAGCTTAATTCGCAAGACTGTGAAGTGGTGGCAAAAAATTTTTTTATGCCTAATGGAAACATCGGTGGTGAACAGTGACGTGCTGTATCGCGAGAGTACACCATCACCCAACTCCCACATTCACTACCGTCGGAATCACTTTCTGCTACTTATGTGCAGGAAGCTCCTCTGCGTCCACCACCAGGCCGACCTCTGCAACGTGAGCGACCAGAGATACATTGGCCAGAATGTCTCAACAACGCTTACACCTGCTATCTAAGACAAATATGCAGCGTCATTGTGTAGTGTGCAGTAAGACGCAGCATCACGTGAGGCCTTCCTACCGGTGCAAAACTTGCCCAAACGCTCCTTACCCTCTGCCCATGAACATGCTTTGAACGGTACCACACGCTCGTGCAGTACAAACTGTAATTCTTCACTACTACCACCCCATATCACCTATATAATATCCCCCTCGTACTCTTACTGGTTGTTGTATCCATTCCTTGGCCTTTGTGTCACTGAAACATCCACAACAGGATCAGTTCTTTCACGTGCAGTCAGCGCTTGGTTGCTATTACTCATGTAGAAGAGACCCACACGTGAGACACGGCGGACCTTGTAACGCGGAGCCCACGCGGTAGATTAATCCACGCACACGCGGATACACAATTACGCAATTAGTGCGTGCAATGAGTTAAATGCTGCACATACACCAAGTGAACAAGCAAATAATGACATGGACTTGGTTCTCTTTGTTCTTTCCTGCTCTGGGAATTACATATATGACATTGCAAATATTGTTACTTGCACTATAGCTAAAGTCTGTTCGTGTTCACCTTGCTGCCGGAATTGCACTAGTCATAACCGTTTACACAAGTTTGCGTCATAATTGAAATATCACAAATATTTGTGGGCAGTGGATGTACGCGATGTCACGCTCATGCGTTGAATACGTTCCGCGTACGTTCTACTACTCCCCTAGACCAGTTCATTCCTGTGTGTGATAACTCGCTGACCGTCACACTGTCACTCGCCTCTCATTCTTGCCTTTTCCTTGGTCTGGGCTCCCGCAGTAGCGGCGGGGAGAGAAGGTTGTTGCTCGCACTGCGCTACGCGCGCACATTGGACTCGCGTGATTGCTTTTTTCGTGGTCAAAGGAACGTTGCGTACTTTGCTTATGTAAGATACAGCTAATTACGCGAGTGGGCGTTGTACGCGCTCGCACAGCAGATAAATGGAACCTACACTCAACTACAGCCATGCTGCACTTTGAAATTTCGAAATCGGTCGCTGTTTAGGTACATTACGGCAGATTTCCTGCCGGCAAGGTGAACGCAAATAGACTTTAGTGTGTCCGACTCTAGCAGAGAAACTAGCCCAACACGTTCATTCTCATGTTTGGGTGTGCTGAGTGTTCGCACTTTTTCATGTGGCAATGTATTTTGAAGAAACTGTTTGCCTACTGATTCCTTGTGTTTGTGTGCATGGTCACTTATGTGTGTCGATTTCCCTACATACAATGGCACATAGGCATTGAGATGCAATAAGTCATGTTTGCATAGATGAAAGTTCTGTAAAAGTAATGCTATAAAACACAGATAAGAAGCACCTGATTTGTTGCATTGTTTGGAAAGTCCATAGAACTGTCCTTTTTGTGTATCACAGGACTCTGAGTGCTACACCATTTTGTTGGACCAGATTGCTCCTGACGAAGCTGGAGTTGACTGTTCACCACTCTCTGTAAGTATCCTTTGGGGAGGAAGTATGCGCAGAAGTGATAACCTCCCGTGTAAAATAATGTGTGTAAAAGCGCACGCAGACGGCAACGATTGCGAAATATCGCGTTTTTACGAACTCAAGCGGGAAGTCACACCAATTTACGCAGACTTAGCGTTCGCACGTAGTAACGCGCGACGGCGTGCTCCACCCGCAGTCGCCGGCGTACACTCTACACTCGCGGTATTTCGCGAAGTTTTTTCAGCAAACGCTCGTTCGCGCATAACCGCGTACTGACACGCCCACGGCGTGCGTAGTAGCGTGTAACGACGCGTAGTAAACCATCGCGAAATAATGCGCCTATACCTGAGTTTGCGCACTTTGTTTTACACGAGGTTTCAAAATCGTTCTTATCACTGCGTTGCAATTTGCAGTTAATGGGAGGATTTTGATTTTTCTGTCGATTTAATTATGGCTTCCGTAATATTTTTGAATGAGTGTAATAAACATACTTATGTTGTTGAATGTTTCTATGTATGGGTTAGATGCAGAGCCGAGGTAACTATGCGTGGTAGTGTGTCGAGGGCTCCCGAGCTGTCGGCGTCCCGAGCGCAACGAGGGCTCTACTAGGAAGCCCGAGGCACTCTACCACGCGTACCTTATGGTTACTATTAATTTCGAGTATATACTAATTTTAGCGAATTTAGCGGGAATCAGCAAAACCACTAAATTATATGCGCGCTAATAATTGTGCCGAAATGAAAATTCGCTTAACTCATTGCGCGCGGATGGCTTATATATAAGCCACACGCGTGGTACGTAGCCAGCGCGAATGGCTTATACACAAGCCATAGGACCTCGCACGGGAAATAAACTTACAGATCTTGCCAACGCTTCTTGTAACTCGCACAGCACGGAGAGCAGACACTACTCGTGAGGCTCTGAGTTGAATTCTGACCTTCAGTGTGAGTGCAGCGAAAAAAGGCGGGGCTATATAGTACGCGCACTCGTGCAGCTGTGCAAGTGTATTGTAGTAAAACAGCGATGGCTACATACACGGCGCTCGAAGCGGTGGACCTGCTAGACGCGTCATTCAGCAGCGATTCTGACAGTGAAATAGATGATGATCCTGACTTTCCAATCCCTGGAACAGAATCGGAAAATGATGATTGCAACACAAATGGTAAGAACAATATGTATGACAAAAGATTATTGATAGCTAATCACAATAACAGATGATGCAGGAGAGATCTTGCAACACCTGCACCTGCAAGAGATGAGAGTAGGAGTGAGTTGGAGAACAGCGGAGAGAGTGTGAATGGTAGAAGGAGTAGAAGTGGGCGAGGGAGAGGGAGAGGGAGTAGAGGTGGTCGAGGGAGAGGGAGAGGGAGAGGGAGGGGGAGAGGGCAGGGGCAAAGAACAGTGACGGGGAGAGAGAGGGGATACAGAAGAAGCTCTATTCCATGGGAATCAACAACACCAGATAGTGACACACAACCACCACCACCGAGCTTCACAGAATCCACAGGACCACGCCTTGATCTTCCAGATGAGCCTCAGCCAATTCACTTCCTAGTACAACTCCTTACAGCGGATATTGTTGGCCTGATAGTGATGGAGACAAACAGGTAAATATTTACAATTCTATAGCAACAAATAAATTTACTGTACTTCCTCAGGTATGCTTCAGAAAAGATCTCCAAGCTCCAGGCTCAGGGCAACCTCAGGCAAAAATCCCGTTTCCGAAAGTGGACACCTTTGACCATTGAGGAGTTCCATGGGTTTCTTGCCATTGTGCTCAACATGGGGATCATAAAGGTCCCTGAGATCGAGGACTACTGGAAAACGTCCTGGGTATCACAGATACCATTCTTTTCCCGCATCATGCCACGAGATCGGTTTGAGCTAATTTTTTGGATGCTACATGTCTCTCACACCGAAGGTAGCACACAAAAGAGGATAGACAAGGTGAGCATGCTAATGACACCTCTTCTTCAGAGGTTCCAACGCTGCTACTATCCCAAACGCGACTTGGCAGCAGATGAAACCATGGTAGGGTTTAGGGGGCATTTTGGTCCTCTGCAATACATGCCAAATAAGCCAACGATGTGGGGGGTGAAATGTTTTACTCTGGCCGACAGCAGCAATGGGTATGTTCTGAATGTCCTGGTGTATACTGGAAGCGAAACACTGGAAGGTGTAGCATACCCCACTCTCCCACAGGCCGCACGAATCGTGCTCCACCTTACCACTCCTTATCAGGGAAAAGGTCACCACGTTTACACAGACCGTTACTACACAAGCATTCCACTAGCGCAAAGTCTTCACGCTCAAAACACAGCGTTCACAGGCACCATCAACCAAAACAGGGCAGACTTACCAGATGAAATCCGGGGTGGTTGCAGACTAGCAGGTGGGGAGGTCGTCGCTTTCAGACGTGACCACTTGATGGCTTTGGCATGGCGTGCTGAGAAAAAAAAGAAACCTGTCCTCATGCTGTCTACTTCAGCATCAGCAGCTACCGCCATAGTGCAGTCACAGAACCGTTATTCTCCCCCCGCAGTAAAGCCTGTTGTTGTTGACACTTACAACCATAAAATGAACGGCGTCGACATTGCAGATCAGCACACAGTCTATTACAGCTTCATTCGCAAGACCGTCAAGTGGTGGCGAAAGCTTTTCTTCTGGCTTATGGAAACAGCAGTTGTGAACAGTTACGTGCTGTACCGCGAGAGTACACCGTCACCAAAATCACACATTCACTATCGCCGCATGCTCATCGACTCTCTTTCTGCTAGCTATGTGCAGTCTGCTCCTCCACGTCCACTACCTGGCAGGCCTCGGCAACGTGCCCAACCAGAGACACATGGGCCAGAACGCCTGAACAAACGCCTACACTTGCTCTGTAAGACAAGTGTACAGCGTGATTGCATGGTTTGCAGCGAAACGCAGCATCGTGTGAGACCCTCCTATCGGTGCAAAACTTGCCCAAACGCTCCATACCTCTGCCCAGGAACATGCTTCGAGCGGTACCACACGCTGGTGCAGTACAAACTGTAATTCTACACTACTACCGCCCCATATCATCCATATAATGCCCCCCCTCGTACTCATGCAAGACTTACTGGTTGTTGTATCCATTCCTTAGCCTTTGTGTCACTGAAACATCCACAACAGGATTAGTTCTTTCACGTACAGTCAGCGCTTTGCTGCTATTACTCACGTAGAGAGACCCCACACGTGAGACACGGCAGAACTTTTAACGCGGAGCCCACGTGGTAGATTATTCCGCGCACGCGAGGACGCGCGATTACTTAATTAGCGCGCGCAATGAGTTAAATAGAACAAAAATGTTAGACATAAATCTTCATCGGAAGAGCCCGAGTTATCTTCATTGCCCTCTACTGGCGCGTGGTTACCTCGAATCAGCGTCTAACGAGTGAGCGCTTCACGTTGAGCGCTCTGGCTTTCCTGTTCGTTCGTATGGCGGAGCGCTTCTAACTATAACTCGATGGAGACAGGCTCAGAGCGCCAGAAAATGCAGTGCAAGAACAGCGAAGCGGCAGAGACACGCGGTAGCGACTCTGCCTTCTTTTTCTGGTTTGTGAGGTCCACGTGTCTGATCTTGTTGTATGTACATTTTGTGCGCCACAATGCCGGGGCTCTCGGTTTTCTACTGTGCGTAGTTACCTAAAATCAGCGTCTATTATTGAGTAATCCAATTGTACTGTCGTGGTTTCTTAATTGGCGAGCGGAAGCGAGCTAACCTAGTGGTCCGAACGGCGCGATTTTTCTATATATATATATATATATATATGTACTCGTACGTCGTCCAACTGCGCATGCTCCAGCATTACGCGCTTCTTTTTATCCGAAAGGGATTTCAACATTTTCATAATGCTGCCTGAATCGAGCGGAATCAGGGGAAACGCAACACCTCCGAAGCTATCGAGTATTGCTGCACAGTCCAGCGAGAGATTTTTCTACATTGCCACTTGTTCCCTATTCCTGCAAGACCAATCAGATTGCCGGATTATGCCTGATTCGCGCTGTCGACTGACTGTTTTTGACTCGACTCGAATTGTCTACTGCGCTCGGGTCGTTTCGGCCTACTTGGTCCTGTGCAATGTATCTCACTGTTTTGTGCACACACAAGAGTGACTCATACGATTAGACCCCAATTGTAAGCGCGCTTCCGCTCGCCAAAAATGCCATGCATTCGCCTACTAGTATATACCAGGTGAGATGTGTATTGATTAGAGGAAGAGGGATACGTATTTAATCCATGTATTAGGTAATTTGACATCTTTGATTTGTGTGCAACTTCAGACTAAAACACATAGGCATTGGACTTTCTGCTAGTCACTGGGTGAGATCATCATCAATTGTCATAATCATACATTATTGTGCATAAACTTATTTTTATTACATTATGGAGACACAAATCGCTAAAATTAGTATACGCCAATGACGCTCAGTGCAAAAACGCTAAAATTAGTACCCGCAATTAATAGTAACCTTAAGGTAGTTACCGTGGCGATGCATCTAACTGGTTTAGATCCATTCAAACTGTTTGCAAATATATGGCGAAGCCAGGCGAGCTGTTTAGCGACGAGATACTATCTTGTATGGACCAGGAAGACTCTGAGAAGGAACTCGACACGCTTAATTATGCTCGCCGCGAGCCAACAGTACGAATTCTCAAACGCTCCGCCCACAACAACAGTGCGTGTGTGTCGACTACGAGACCCGCCCCCACCACAACCGCAGCTGTTCCTTCACGCTTCGCTCCACCGAAAACGATACTCCCCAATAGATCCTGTCGTCCGGGCAGCGGGATCTGTGAAAATGGATCCAGCATTTGGACCATTGAAATTGCACGATTTGAAATCACCGGGATCTAAGTTTAGGCAGAGCGAATTCAGGATACCTATGTTCTTAATTTGTTATTTTATGTGATAACGATGGGATCTCACACCTTTTAGAGGTGCATGTTCAGACATCAAGCACTGCAGTTTAAAGGTCATGCTTTGTTGCTTAGTTGCAATCATCTGCAACGATGGGTTATTCACACTTTTCCAGTGGCCTAGGAAACGTTAGCTCTTGTTCCCATTGCTGTTGTGCGAAACATTACATTGGTCATGTATCACGCGCCACACCTCTACATTGCAGGTTCGAAGAACCCAATGCCACACATATGCCTCTTTGCATTCCTGTACAACTTTCCTCTATGTCTCACTTGGACAGTGCTGGCAATGGGAAACTCGCTCCATTACCTTCTGCTGTACCCTTTGATCTTTGGCAACTGATGTGGTAGTACTTGTATACTGGGATGGGCATAGTTCCTAGCATCATATCACTAAGTGCAGTAGTACTTAGTGTAACAAGTAAATAAACAATTTGGTCCGGAATTGATGTGTAAATGTTTCTAACACAACTTTTTTGGGCTGAAGGCAGCGCAGGCAGTCGTTCCAGAGGGATGGAACAGAGTGGAAGATGATGGTATTGAACACAAATGAGGAAGGCTTCAACCTTACAGCCTTCACCGTTTTAGTAGGGAAAAGTATTAAAAGTTCCTTGAATCTTGGCTCGCACTTTGTTCCATCTTTACAGCAAAAGCAAGGCAGATGAGTGCTACATGTCAGACAGACCTTGAATTGCGAATGTCATCAAAGAGGAATTTCAGCTTTTTAAGAAACCTTTTTCGACTTCACCCTGTACACCCTTTCATAAATACATACAACACCGCTGATAGTGAAGGTAGTTCCCATCTCTAACTTCCCTCCTGGCATGTCTTTTGACTACTTACACTTGTTCCTGAAATACGTGTGATGTTCGTCTGTCTTTCTGTCTATCCTTCCATTTGTTCGTCCGTCTGTCTCCATGCACTCGAGACAACAAAAAAGCGATAAATGCAGCTTCGTTCCTACACCTGCTCGTTTTAAAAAGGTTATTTTTGAAAAAGTAATGCTTTCTAGCTTGAAAAGCAAGTAAATAGCCAACATTGAGGGTCGCACTGCCTTACTTTGACCTGATCTACTACTTTTTTGTTCTTAACTCACAGTCTTGCCATTTTTCAGAAGGGCCTTTGTTTTTATTAACCCTTGGTGCACATGCGCAGTACTTGGTCCGTTAGTGTGTCCGTCTGTCTGTTGCCATGTTTTTTACCACCACACAAACCCAAAAGCTATCTAACCGAATGTGTTTTACTGGCTTCATCTAAGCACTGCATTCATAAATTAGGGTGTGAAAGCGAAGTTAACAAGTAAAAACAAAAGGCACAATCACAGGTGGGAAATTTTGACACAAATTGTTTTTAGAAGAAAAAAATTGTACAAACATACATACGTCTCTGTAATGCATAGAGACTGCCATTTTTGTTTTTTAAGCAATGCTGTCTGCTGTTAACAATTAAACTGGAACCCCTCACCACAGGATGCCTGAAATGGCTGATTGATGTGCTGCACAATACTTTCCCTTGTAGCTCACGAAGAGTCTGACGTGGGCTAGCTACATTACCATGCGTTAGTCTCCATTGGAACTTCTTGTGCCTCCAGGGTACACAGAGCAAGTGAATCAGGTTCATGTAAGCCAGTGCTAGTTTGCAACCGTAACTTTCGAATGCTGTACTTTATAGCCTGACCGCTCTCGTGTGTTCCTTCATTCCGCATTTGAAAAAATCATGTACCGATTATTCGATTTACGCCATTTCTTGGATACATGCTCTTTGTGACGATACGAATCAGTCTGATGTGAAATCTCTAGTGTATGGGCATAATGCAGGTCATCCATACTGTACTTAGTGATAATAAGAGGAAACAAACTAGGGAAAGAAGTGAAGGGAGACAAGATAGAGATGGGATATGTGAATCAAACAGATGTGAGCATGATTACACCACTGACCCCATCACATAATCCTTCTATTTTAGTTTTGGTGAAGTTAAGTACGTTAGTACTTTGTATATAGGGATGACGCAGGTTTATGCCCATTCATTTGAGATTTACACGTTTCGTTGTCAGAGCCTACTTCTGACATATCAGTCTGATCCGTATTTTTAAAAAGCATTAGAGCAGTGGCCTTTACATATGCACGAAGACTTTATAACGCGTCCTCAGTTTTCCATGTGAGAATTGGCTCACATGCGAATTCAGGATGTTCGTGTCATCATCGTCATCATATTTTTCTTCTTCTTCAAACCGTTACCTCCTTACCGAAATAAGTTGAAGCGCATATTTTTTTACTAAGCGTCTTCAGGTTCGACGGAAGTGTGCATGGCCATCAAGTAATTGTTCATTTCTTCAAGCAAGTCCCTACAGTAGGTTGTGGAGCTCTTGCATGGCAGACTCTGAACGACGCCGTTTCCTGCAAACTCAGCAGCATGCACACGGCTAAGGGGGGTTGTCCTATTATGGCCACGCGGTGCCACGCCTTCTCAATGACCCTGGCCGCATCCGCATTCGCACAGTACCGCATTTTTCTCTCTTTTTGGCGAGTGAAACGAGCCCACCTAGGCATCTGAATGTGGAAATTTTCCGTATGTATAATTATTTCTGTAACAGCAAACGGACCCACGGACCAACATACAGTAATACACACATTATTTTATAACGTGTGTAATATTGAAATGCTCAATTTGCTTCCAAAAATTGTGTTGCATTCCTCTAGTTAATATATGTAGGGGGTCTTTCCCCCATTCACAGATATGTGTAGTAGTATAATATATAAATTAGTAGAGACAAATAAATTTAAACAAAGAGGTATAGAGGGATGGATTTGATTTAATGACACTGACACCCCCGACCCCATCACAAAATGCCTATATTGTTGCCTAAGTGAAGTAATAGGTCAGGACCTACTGGGTAACCAACACGTTATAGAGTCCATATTGAGTTTATGAGTGGTATAGCAGGCATCAATAATTATAGAGATTCTGTGATTCGGCCAGGTGCACTGTGCTTAAATGTGTTCATTAACCATGCTTCTTGTATCACATCCCAATCTTGTCTCCCTTCATTATACCCTCCTTTATACTATCCCTGTATGTGTATTTTAAATTCGCAGGGTTTTATTGCTATGTGACCCGCTCTGGTATATACATTTCCACACAAATATAGATTTTCCGCTATGCACATACATGGCGGAAAGAAACTCGATGGGGTTTTGCTAAATCAACCCATTGTCTAACCCATCGCCGGAGCCAGTTTCTAGTTCTATCACTCCCTAGCTGAATCAGTAGGTACCGTTTAGGGAGATTCTTCCAAGTAACTTAATCTCTCTGCAGTGCACTAAACTGGCCGAGTCTGGTCTCAAAGTAAGCCAGTGCTGATTGCTTTTTTCGCTTGTTTTCACGCAATACCTCTCTAACACACTTTTTTCAATAATATTTCATACACTCGTAGCTCCGAAACCTTTAATGTCAATAACAGACTGCTTTGTAGCCTTTATTACTGCATTAGTAGTTTACGCACACAGACAGACAGACAGACAAACCATGTACTTACGTAGCTGCGCATGTGGGTTGATTGTGGTGTGTAAGAAGTATTGTGTTGAAGCTACTTTAGTAAGCCCTGTGTTTTTAAAATCTTATGGTAGTCCTATGATTATTTTTGTATTCATTTTGTTTATGTGAGGTGTTTGCATATTATATTTACACTTACATTTGTAACCTGAAACTGATGGGCTTCATTAATGTTATTACTTTTGTAGGAAGGGAACTTGGAAAGAAGGGCAGACAAAATGTTGGGGCAAGCACACAAGATTGGCTGTCGAAAGTTTGTTCGTCCAAAGGATGTAGTAAAGGGAAATGCTCGTCTTAATCTTGCTTTTGTGGCTAATCTTTTCAATACCCATCCTGCCCTGAAGCCTCCTGAGGAGGGTTTGCCTGACTTTGACCTTGGAGAGTATGGAGAAACTCGTGAAGAAAAGAGTAAGTGTAGGTTGATGCACATGAGGAAGTTCCTCACCAAGGTGTTCATGCATGGGATTCTTTTGCGTTTTGTGTATTAATTTGCAATTAAGCTTTACGTGTATGGATATGAAACATACAAACATTTACTGTCTCATCACAATTATAAATATATACAACAAATCGCCTCAGGTATGTTTAATTTCAGGTTCCCTTTGGTAGTATGGAATGAAGTCACGAACCTTGGGACTGGGCGGTGTTAAAATTAGTGGAAAGTTCGATTTGCTGACACTGGAAGCTATAGCAAGTGTAGTGTCAATGAAACTGACTGTACCTTGCTTCATCTACTCCAGTTGCGGCTCTACTCGAGACCTTCGTCGTTTGGGCAGCCTTCCCTTCACGTGCCAATAGCGAGCCTTGAACAGGCATCTAACATTGTCATAGTGATTAGGGTACAGGTTAGTAAGAACAATGCCCGAATTCGGGTTATCGCACTACACACTCAGTAATATTACGTAAGCCCTGGGGGCTGCCAGTGCCCTCGGGATTACATAATAGTACTTCGTGTGTGTAGGCAATAACCATTTCTTGCGAATAACAGTATGATAACTCTAATCCATACCCGCACACATTAATTGATCTTAGTGGCATTCGTCCAGGTACAATAGCTATTGTCGTTTTGAAATAGGCATTATGATGACCACGTACTGTGTTTATTTCTGAAAGAAGCGAACAACAGTAGCTACATTGTCAAACATTTTTAATAGTCTCTGTGAGCAAGAACAGTGCAGTTTGGTTCAGTAAACAAACCGGGGTCTTGTCGCCTTCTTTTTTAGCCTGTGCATAGCATCAAGTACAGACTTTTGCATTGGGCAGTGCGGGCAGCGGGGAACTCACTCAATAAATTTACCGCAGCATTGTTAAATGTTGGGCCTAACCGGGCTACAAAAATATTAGACCTGGTTAGAGAAAGGAACCATTCGTGATGAGAAACCTTTGCAAACCATGAAATTTTGCGCAAGCGATCCCAGATAGTGCGAAAATGTGGCAGAGCTGCAACAATGACTGCTAAGAGCTAAATTCAGGTATGTATGTAGAACTTGTAGAACTTGTAAGGTTATCTGAAATTTTGCTGTCTGCATGCATACGTAATCATACGGTTGATAACTGCCCAAAGTGGCAGTATGTACTACATCATAGCTTGTTTGTGACATTGATTGATCAGTGTATACTGTACAGTGTGTATGTTAATTTTTCTGGCACATTTTGTATGGAGTGTAGGGATGTATATACCGATTTTCAAATTGCAGCTGTCACGTTTTGTCGGTAATACCAGCAGGGAGGGTGGGGCTGTTTGACTGCAGCTTGTGCAACATAGAACGCAGGCGTGGTACAATTGAGGGCATTTTGTGTCCCCCCCCTCCCCCTTTCGAACTAAAGCCAGTCCATAGCATAGATAGGCCTACATTAACTTAATTATGTGTAGCATTGGTTTGTGTTCACGACTGTATACCCAACTAAATGCCCTGGAATGTGGACAAAAAGTGTGTCGTTTTATGGATACAAATGCACTAAAATCAATGATATATGCTTTTTTGGGGTTAAAAACGTCATATTAACAAATATATACAAGAAATATGAGAACAGGAGTCTCTTGAAGAAGGTTCGTCCCGTGCCACCTGTTGTCGAAAAGACCAGTGGTGTGAATGTTGCATGTTTAACTTCGCGCACTTGCTCATCATATTGTCTTCTCTTTTCTTGCTCGTGTCTGTGGTATACAGATGAAGGAGACGCAATTTGATTGGGCACTAGGGTTGAATACCCTTACATCAACAGCCTTTTCAAATCTTCCTCCCCAAAATTCATACATTGCGACATCTAATCGAGCTCCGTCTTCAGTGATGGCTAAGTGGTGCGGCAGGCACTCACCCGAGAGTGGTTGCAGATGGGGCTCAGTTGTCACTCCATGGCAGACTTCAGTCAGTAGCATAGCAGTGATATCTCTCACTTCATTTTGTCTCACAGCTGGAAAGCCTCCTGTTTTGCAGGTCAGGGCATGTTCGACAGTAAATGGCTGTCCGCAACTGCAGTTGGATGGTGAGTTCTGAAATGGCCAACCGTACCTAAAGGAAAAGCTGTGTTTGAAGGAAGCTTTGTCCAGAGCGAACCCATTTTCTTCAATAGGGAGTGCTGTCAGCCGGGTTGAGGCTCCCTTTACTTTGACAAGCTCCATTGAGCGTTGAAGAAGGAATGGTAGATTGGGATTGGAGGTTTTTGGCCTCTCCCTTTTGCTTGGTGCTCTTCTCTTGATACTCTGCTGAACTGAATGGCAATCATCCAACTGGTGATCTTGGTTGATGATTGGGTCGACCAATGGGGCGCTAATCTGTTGCGAAATTTCTCCCTGTTCTTTCTCTGCGGCAGCAGGATTGATCAACCCCAGACCACCAAGTTGTGCAGGTAACGCTAGTAGCTTTCATGTACTTTCCCTTGCCCTGTGAGTGCTGGGATGAAGCATGATATTTTCCCTCCAGAGGTTCCAAAATATTGAGTCTGTTTTCTTCCCACTTGGTTACCCGCAGAAAGTACGTCCACTTCGAAGAAAGTCCGTGATTGAAGGCGGCAAATGCCGCATGTGGCTGAGTTGCGGCAAATTTGCTGAGCTTCATTCGTCCAGCATTTTACTTTTCGTTCAACTAGCTGACGAAAAGATCCAACTACTCCTCCTAAGTAACTCTCCCCTTTTGTCGAGATGACTATTGCAGTATATTTGAATATTTCCTTTGCAGCTTCAGTGTGTTGTGGCTTTGGTAGAACACGGTCTTGGAACCATTTGGGAAGAAACCATAGAGGGGACCTATCTCCACTAGCATATCCCACCACCTCTTTAGTCTCTCAAGACTCGAGCCAGCAGCAGAATCATCTGCAGATATACCGAACTTGGTTGGCAATGCCATCCAGTCTGCGGATTAGAGGCTGGGTTCCAATGGCATACATTGCTATGGCTAGTGGGTTACCCTGTGTTGTGCCTTCTTTTGATAGTATGCACTGTCCATCGGCAAAGAGCTGGGAGTTGTTGCAATAGGTGTTTATGAGGATGTGTGACAGAGCAGGGCATACTATTCCGCAGCGGAGTAGTGTCACTTGTCTGTTCAAGCAGTTGAATGCATCAACAAGGATCATTGCCTCAGTATCTTCATCGGCAAAAACCTGCTCTGTTGCGTGAATGGCAGCCAGCATCCTGACCAGCACAGAGCTTGATGCTACCAACTGAGTCCTGAAGATCGTATTTCACGATTCTCATTACTGCCTTTCCATGATTCTTTGCACAACCTCTCCTATCCATATGGGACGGACGGAAGGATAAGGCAGCAGGATGTGTAGGCTAGCAAGGTATGGGTCGATGAACGTGGTTGAGATTCTTCAAGGAACTCTTGCTATGGCTGCACAGAGGTCGTTGGACTTTTGCCCAAAGGCAGTACGTAGTCGTCTCCAGCTGAGGGCATGCAGTCCTGACGGTCCAGCAGCGCTTTGGGTATGAGGTGCGGTAGCCCAGATAGACTCTGCTGTGAGTGAGTCATAATAGTTGGATGGAAGCTATTGTCATCTGCATCTCCTAAGAGAACATCTGGGTGTACTGGGTTCTGATTTGGGTGTTTGTCTTCAAGAATCTCTTAGACAGTTTTTCCGGCTCTTTCATCAATAACTTGATTGGGGCTTAAAAGGCCTGTGTCTGAGTCGTCAGACAAAGGCTTCATCGCACCTCTCACCCTCCCCTCCATCATAATCTTGGAGAACCTGCAGGTTAATGAAGCGTTGTCTGCTGTAACTGTTGTGGCTGAGAGCGTGCAAGTGGCCTCTGGAGAGCCCTTCCTTCCTTAATGATTTTCCTTTCTCCCACAGGCCCAATATGTGCTGAAGACAGGAATTGTGGTCATATGTTTTGGATTTAGCGTGTGGTTTTTGCACCATCAGCAAAGTAGGGGCGTAGCGGCCTTAAGTGCGATGGCATCAAGGCCAGATTCTGTGGCAAAGCTGTTGAAGAGACGAGTTAGTTCAGTTACAAATTGCTTGCCCCATGCTTAAAAAGGTTATGCTTCCAGTGGACTACCTCAGCATACATCTCATCAATCACTTTCGAGAATTCCTCCCCTGGTATGTCCCCCCAAGACGATATATACTTGGTACTGTCCTGAATGATGGAAGAATTCGTGTTTGCATGGGGGTGTCCGTGTTGACATTATCAAACATGGCGTTGGCGTTCACGCCTCTACCAGGGTTAGTCGAGCATGGAGTGTCGTGTGAGTACCCATTGGCCACCGACCCAGGTATATCACCAGTTAGTGCCAGCGACAGACCGTGTCCATTGTCCGCTGTAGACATAAAAGGCGGCGTAAGAGGTGCCTGGGAGGAAGCTGCGTTACGGCAGTGACCATTACGAGACGGCAGAAAGTCTGTGCACGGTCTACCTGCCTTCACACATGCACAGGACTTACAGCGCCCACTACCATTGCACCGGCAACAAACTGGCATTCTAATCCAGCTGGTGTCTTCTCAGCCAGCCGTATATTTTCATCGGTATCTTGCTGTTAGGCTTGGCCAAGCTAAGTCGAGGGATAATAGGGGCCTACTATCATCCTAGGCTGTGGAATTGTGGTAGGTCAGACAGTGCAGCTCACGTATGTGGCATCACCGACAGAGGAGCCTCAGTCATCACTCTCATTTTTCTCACTCCCACACATCCACACATCCGCACACCCTCCCCCCGTATTTCTTTCTCAGTGAGTCCTTATGCCACAATTTCCTCTTCTTCCATCTTACCTAATGCCTTTGAAGTGTGCTACTGTGTACCTGTGACGCTGGCAGCAGTTCTTACTGCTGGGACAGCAAGAGGTGATCAGAGAGAGTGCATGGGATAGGATCAAGTAACCCCCTCAACTATCCCTGCCTGAGCTTACACACTTGACATTACCGTTACTAACACCCTTATCAGACCGCCAACAATAACATGAGATTGCTAGACATTGCCAAGTATGGCTGGAAAGCATTGTAGATAGAACAAAGTGCCATTGAGACAACAAATGATCCTACTGTGTTGAAGTTGCACATGTTAAAGTTGGGACCTGACCTGTTGCCTTTTTTTGCGATTGCATAGTCGTGCAGTAACTTTAACATGTGCAACTTCAACACAGTAGGCCCATTTGTTGTCTCAATGGCACTTTGTTCTATCTACAATGCTTTCCAGCCATACTTGGCAATGTCTAGCAATCTCATGTTATTTCTGGCGGTCTGATAAGGGTGTTAGTAACGGTAATGTAAGTGTGTAAGCTCAGGCAGGGATAGTTGAGGGGGTTACTTGATCCTATCCCATGCACTCTCTCTGATCACCTCTTGCTGTACAAAATTTGTAGCACCTGTTCTATATTTACAAGTTTCAATTTCTGCATAGGTATAGGCTTGACTGACTTCTCTCTACTCCTGCATGGTGCTTACTTTCGCAATACACACTCTTTCAATAGTAGTAGGAATATGGACCATAGTAATGTTGAGAACACGGAAATGAATTTTTTACTCACACTTACTTGGCTGCCTGACATATTGTATCAAAAGCAGCAAACACGCAACACACTTAAAAGTTTTACATTTCTTCTGTTTTTTTAATGCATCAAAGAACGACTTCTCCCTCAAGTATAGTATATATCTAATCCAGCTCTTACTGTGTCCACAGGGCTTGCACACCCAGAAGCCTATAGTGATTTAGTTGTAACAAGGAGGAACTGCTCTAACTCACATTCCCACTTTCCATGGTGACTGTTTGCATCTCCCAAATGCTCCCTGCACAAGGAACAACATCCCTGCACTTCGTTTTCGAATTATGCTCACTGACAGACACGTTAGCTTCCCACTTTTATATCAGTAACCTTTGCAAAGGTGTTGTACCTACATTTATAAGCTGTGAACACAAACTAATACTAAATATTACTGTAGGGCTGTTCCTATCCTACAGGCTGGAATCACTTTTAGGAGGCTCAGAGGTATACCACTCCTATGTTACACAAGCCACGATCAGACCCCTCACTCATGTACAGACGAAACGCTGCATGGTTGCAGCTTGAAATACTCCATACATCAGTCAATAAAGGCGCGAGTAGAGTTTTGCCTGAGGCTGTTCACTTCTCTGAGATGAGCTTGAGAGCCGTACGAGAAGTCTGGTTTGTTTATTACACAAAATAGTATCGTCACTTAGCCACTTCCGATTTTTATCAATAATTCACTGTATACGGTGCACTTGCGGATGAACTGGAGAAACTACTAAACAGTCATATGATGTCCACAGACACTCACGTGATGTGCAGCAAGGGTATAGGAAGGCTGAGGGTCTTCTTGGTTAGTGACATGTCTCTCCTTAAGGGCATTATCAACTGCTACTAGCTCACTTAACATCGAGTTGACTTCGTCTTCTATGCAAGGGGCAAAAGGGGCAAATTTCGTGCGCTTTAGCTCTACCTCAGTTGCTGAGGATCCTTAAGTTTGGTACACGCTCAGTGGCGTCACAAAGAGCTACATGACCATTACGTTTTGCAGGCTTCTGTTTCAAAATCATAGTAGCCTATCTCCCACATTAAACCTTTGGACTGCAGCACCTGATTTAGAGTGGACATTACCTCCATCTATGATTTTATTTATACTATCTGACTATATAATTTATGTCAGAGTATGGGCGGGACCACCATGACTATGATTGATTAACCCTCAGCACATATGTGCAGTGAGGATTATGGTACCTGGTACATAAGTGTGTGTGTGTCTGTTTGTCTGTCTGTCTTTCTGTTACCATGTTTTTTGCTACCAGACCAACGAGACAACTGGCTTTTTTATTGAATTTAGCGAGTTTTGAACAACTACTGTGTTTGTATGGCGTGAAAAGAAAGTAATAAAGCCGATATGTACATTAGCACAGGCTGGCCTCGACCAGATATGCTTGCTCTATAGAGATTTGTCAGTACGAGGTTCCTGATTTATCATAGTAAACCTCATACGCTACAGAACTAACATAAAAACATGATAGAGAACCTTGTTTTTTTTCGACATAAATACATGATTTTTACATGTAGGAGTACATGATCTGAAACTGATAATATTAGTGGCTCTCTTGTATTAGAAGTGCATGATCGGATTGAAGTGTGCTGTGTTTAATTTGTTGAAGGTGATTACAACGGACTGACATGAGTGGAAATTAAATGATGAGGGTATAGATGCATTCATAGAAACCAAAGTGTTTGCAGAGCTTCCAGTACCAGTAGGTGGTGTTTCAAGGTGAGAGTTGCTCGCAACAGCCTGAGTTGGTTGTGGTGTAGATTCTTTGGTAGTAGGAGGTGCTCTTTTTGCCCTTTTGGAGAGGCTAAGAGTGTCAGACACAGACTGCTCCTGTTGGTCTGATGTACGCTTGTATGAGTGAACACCCTCTACGCTGCGATGCCCAGTGCGCTCCATTATGAGTTGCTCGCCCATTCCTGCAGCATACAAGCTGGTGGCACTCGTTGCACGTAGTGAATGGTTTGTTCGAAACCCCAAAATCCCAGCAGATTTGCACATTGAGTTGGCAAAGCATGGTGCCCAAGGGGCGCACGAGAAAAATCAAACTGTGTCGGTTGGTTTTTCAGACACTGCAGGTAGAATGAGTTGCTCTTCGGATATGGAGGGCAGCGACTTTTGTAGAGAGAGAAGAGCCTGACGCAGCAGCGAGAGGGGTCAGTCAAGTTTGCGTGATGTTTGACTGTTTTGTGTCCGATGCGAAGTCCTCTCAGACCTCCAGGTCTGTTCTTTGATCCATCCTCTGTGTATTCAAGGTACGGGCGCTCTCCAGTCCGCTCTACTAGGGAAATTTGGAAAGGATTGAATCGAAGCTCTCTATGTTCCTTTCCACTCCTCAGGGCAAAGTATAGGCCATTCATGAATACCATAGTGTTGATGAGAGCCTGTGGAGTGTGGTCTCCAAGTAACCCCATCTGCCATAAAACCTCTCTTCATCGGTGAGCGCTCTGCTTGTTTCTTCTTGGATCCGATGCCAAGTTGTTGTAGACACTTCATTTCGGCATCGAGAGTTGAACGGAACTCGGCAGAGAAGAGGTCCTTAAAGATGTCAAGCGATGGGTGGGCGTTTTGACGCAAGTGTCTGAGTAGTCCACTTCACAGATGGTGGAGAGTTTGAGGTGGATAATCGGTTCCATCTTTTTTGCGAACCTCTAGAACAAATCTCGTAAGCCAGTATTGAAGCTGGGGAGGAGTAACAGCAGATAATGGCGGTATATAGGTGCTGTAGGTCGTTGCATGATAGTCACTCCATTCCTGCCACACTCCTGTGCAGTGTCGAGTGTCTTCGGCAGTTTTTTGGGAATAGAGTCGGAGCGTCGCTTCCGTATTTCCTCGTCGGTTACCCTAGCGGTGAACCGCGCTGCTGCTGGAGGGGGAGGGGGAGGGGCTGGTTCGGAAACGTCGTCGGCGGCGGCTGCTTCTAAAACTGGTGGGCGGCGGTGAGAGGTAGGGGGAGGGGCTGGTTTGGGAACGGAAGTAGTGTTGTGGGCGGAGTCGCACAGAGCGGTAGCCGGCGGTTTGACAGCAGAGTGTGCGACGAGCGAAGGGCCGCCGTTTGTTGTCGATGTCTCGCTCGCCTCGAAGACGTTGTACGCTGCGAAAAACAGCTTGTCGGTCTCGTTTTGTATTATCTGCAGCGCCGCAGATGACAGTAAGTCTTCTAACTCCATTTTTCGCGAGCGTTACTGAATCGTTTTGTATGGAAGATTTCGTCATGGAAACACAGACCCAGTGGCTTCTGTGCAGTGGCTCTGCACTAAACATGTTAGTTACTCCGTTTGAGGGAACTATGGGATTTCAATGAACCCGAGGGCCTCCGCGTTGTAGTGTCCCGAGCGTAGCGAGGGCACTACGTATAAATTAAACATTACATGTTTTTAAACTTGCAGCTGCTTTAATTATACACATGTGCAACCTATGCTTAGTATCATAATGTAATCCAACGTGTGTTTCAAAATTAAACAACAAAAGGCAATTTAAAATTTGTACTGTGATGAGAGTTCATCAAAACAATTAACAGTTTTGACACTGCAGTAATGCACATTTAATAGAAGTCGTCCACACATCCATGTATATGTGTTCAGTTGTTTTGTGCATGTTGTACGGAGTTAATTGTTGTACGCCAAACAAATTCCTGCTTGTTATGTTTCTTGTACATGTAACTGACATGCCAGAAAATGAAACATGAAGAATTTTGAACTAGTCAAAATAACACCGTAGAATGTGTGCATGTATGTGCTGCTGCGTGCACAATGTCCAATTTTTCTGCTTTTAAATGTGAATTTGTTCCACTCCTAAAGAGACCAGAAATATAATTAAAACAAAGCCTCAAAATTAAAAGAATTTGTTTTTCCTAGGCATAAAGCAGTAAAGTTTTTAAAAATATCAAAAATGTCGTGAGGTACCTGTGATATGTGGGGAAACAAGGGCAAAACAGACAGTTGAGTGCTGTCACGTTTAAGGCTTGGCATTGCAGAACACAGCCGTTGCTAAACTGTATTTGTACAGACTTCTGGTCGCCTGTTGACTGTAGAAGAACTTGCAGAGCAATCTCTTGCTATACCTATCTTCTAACACATTTTTTTGTCAAAACTGCCCTCTCAAAGCCCTGTCTCTCTCCTTTATGTGACCATGGCCTGGTGGTAGAAGCAATTGGCAATGAACAGTAAAAAATTTTACTAGAGAAATGCAATGCAAGTTCTATTTTTTCATGCGTATTTAGAATCACGCTTATCCATATTGACAAAAAAAATGTTTTTACTTGCCGATTAAGTCTTTTTTGGTTTTGGTGTGCCCTTTGTAGGGCCGCACTCACCTTTTCAGATTATTTAAAAAGCAGATGTAAATAACATTTTGTCTGTCATTTACAGCTTTCCGTAATTGGATGAACTCACTTGGAGTTTCCCCATTCGTCAATAACCTCTACTCTGACCTAAAAGATGGGCTTGTGCTACTTCAGGTACATATATCATTAATTAGCTGAAACTAGTTATATTATACTTGGTCCTCTTTAAGTGGGCACCTGCATTTTAAGAAACTTCATGGGTCTCACCTTGCTAAGGAGCAAAAAGGTTTTATAATTTTTCAGGCTTTGGTTTTAAGAGCCAAAATATATATGCATGCCCTGTCCCATGCTCAGGCATATCTACATGTAACATGACATGTAGGAATGTTTTGGTTCTAAACCATGTTGTAAAACTAAACTAACACCACGTGCACTTGCACATGTTTGCGGGAATGCGTTTGTGACTTCTATTTAATGGCTATTTTTCTGCTCCTATGGGACCCGAACTTTAATGAGGCACAAACAAGTCGTGAAACTAACACCGTAGAACACATTGTGCACATATGCGCGAATGTGTGTGCGACTTCTATATATTGCATTTTGCGTAGGCGGATCAAAGGCACAGGCAGTGCTTAATTCAAACACTTTTGCTCATAAAGCGCAGTATTGCTCATTTAGCACAGGTTTCAAAATGCAGTAGCATAAAACACTGCGAAAGTGGGCTTTCCAGGCCAGCAAAGGGAAAGATGGGTACTAGAAGAGAGACCACCAAAGCGAGTCTAAGGGCTAGGAGGTAAGCTAGCATGGCTCTGCGAAGCTAGCGGCGGGGTGGCCCACATCGCTACATGGTCGCACAATTGCTTTCCTGCCCATGGTGTGCGAGGAATGGCAACCAGCACAGTAAACATAAGCTTTCTTACCATTTGAAGTCGTAGCAGTCGCATCTTTGCCTTTGCGGAGCGTCGGCTTCACCTCGTGCTTTATTACTATTTCGACCATGCCCTCTCGTACCTTTATTTCGCATACAACACTACCTTCCGTGCTTTAACTAATACTGTAATGCAATTTCTTTCCACTCCTATAGAAATATTTGGGACCCGTATTACTAAACAAAAATGCGACAAATTTTTTTCGCGTTCCTTGGCATAGTACAATTCAGTATTTATGCCCCTTAAGGGGGTATATATTTAATTCTTCATTTTTCCCGCTCATTTAGAAATGTATACCGGCTCTCATGAATATATTAATGATGCATTAAAACAAAGCCGAAAAATTGTCATTCGTTGGCATAGTGGAGTTCATCCCATGAAGGTATTAATTTATATACCCCCTAAAGTAGGAAGGATACTCCTGAGGTATATACCTCACTACGATTTTAATTTCATGGTCCAATTCTACTATGCCTAGGAACAAAACATATTTTCGCATTTAAAAAATCATGCAACACCAATGGCACTTCGGTTCAAATGTTTTCGGTTAGTGGACTCAAATGCATAATAATACTCGGCTAATTATAGTGATATACCACTGTTCACTATGGCATGAGGTGTTAGGAGCTGCAAGGTTACCTTTGTAAGGAAGCTTATGGAGCTCTTTCACCTACTAGAAAGGGAACTGCCGACTCTGCTGTTTAGCTGAGGTGTTGGTCCACTTGTTAACCCTCGGTGCGCCCTAACTGCGCAGTGTGCAGTTGTAAGCCGACGACAATATTTTTGTAGCCCCCCCCCCCCATAATAATGTGGTTGCGTAGTACTTTTTAAATGAAAAGCACTGAAGTGCAAACCCTCGGCGCATTGTGACGCGCACGCGTGAGTAAACGCATGCGCTGTATCACTAATTGATGGGCCGGGTTTAGTTTTAGCTGTTACTCGTGGTCTCTTGCCAGCTCGCGCAGAGTCTGACGTGTGCTAACTACACTACTAGACAGCATGCGAGAGTCGATACACGCCCTGCGTTGCATTTTCTGGTGCCTCCGAGGTCGCAGAGCACGCTGATCGATCAGACCGCGGTAAGCCATCCCGTCCGTTGCGTATTTGCATATTGGCTTTTTCGTGCTCTAGCTTTGCAACGGAGCATTTTCAGAGAAAACCGTCTTTATTTTCTGACCTTCATCGCCCGTTGGGTAGATGGTATCGTTTCTGGGACGAACAGACGTTCGAGGAGTGAGATATAGAGTAACAGACAAACAGACAGACAGACAGACAGACCCAACTACTGTACCCTCGCTGCGCATGCGCGCCGAGGGTAATAAATCTCCGTTTACAGTACGGTTGCAACAGGTATATTTTCTTCACCATAATCACACTTTTGCGTAAACAAATTGTAGCTAGTCATGTCTACTTACCTCAAAGGACAGCGGCTTCAGACTATGCAAAATTGCATAAGCATGTATGAAATTAGCCGGCATGAATATGCACCCTTATATTATCTTCCCCTTAAAAACAGCTGCCAACTTAATGATGATGTTGTCCATTGCACCTTCGTAGAAATCAATTTTCAGATAAATAATAGTAAACTGTTGATATTACTTTTACAGCTTTTTGACAAGGTGAAACCTGGTATTGTGAACTGGTCAAAGGTGAATCAGAAAGAGACATTTAAAAAGATTGGTGGAAACATGAAGAAACTTGAAAACTGTAACTATGCTGTAGAGATCGCACATCAAATGGGTTTCTCGCTTGTTGGAATTGATGGCAAAGATATTGCTGATGGAAACAAAACACTAACATTAGGTGAGTGTTTAATAATTTGTCCAAGTGCACAGAAGTCCACTGTCTACCTATTATGTTGGATATACCTACTTTCCTATTATTTGGATGATCTTCTTAGTTTTCGTGCATTTTTTTGTAGTAATTATTATATTGCTGAAATTGTGCACCATTTATTGTAGTTGGTCTCTCTTTTTCATAGCTGTCGTGTGGCAGATGATGCGTGCCTACACACTTTCAATGCTGCAGCGACTTGCAGGATCAGATAAACCCATCAGTGACCCTGAGATTGTGGACTGGACAAACACTACTCTACGTGACTCTGGGAAAACAACGTCTATTACTGGTTTCAGGGACCCAGCAATTTCAAACTCTATGCCTGTGATTGATCTTGTGGATGCCATCAAGCCAGGCTCAATCAAGTATGAACTTGTCAACTGCGGGACCTCTCTTTCAGATGAGGTATATACATATTGTCTTATTAAATTATGTATTGTGTAGGCCTTATATCAGTCCGAAGCAGTATTTTGCTGCAAGCACAATGAGAAAGATGTGTCACTGTGGTGACACCCTAACTGAATGTAGGGTATGACTATATTATTGTTAGCAATCTTCCTATTAAAAAGGTAATTATTGTGTGATCACAAGACAAAACTCAAAGGCTAGGCTTTGACATGTGAAAGTCTGTGGACGTTTGCTCTGTAATGTGAATATTTTAGGACTATCAGTTTAGAGAAAGTGGTTAAACTATTTTCAAAACCCTGCCGTCTGTGGGAATGTGTGAGAGATTTGAAAACCCTGCCACCTGTGCAATTTGTGAGAGAAGCAGAAAAGCAAACGTCCACAGACTTTCACATGTCTAGCAGAAAAGCAATCAGTTAGCCTCCTAGAATCAGTCTAGCAAGCTAGACACATAGATTGCTTTGCAAGAAACACAAGCTTAAACTATGCCAACAAGTAGCACATTTGTGAAAAGCCTACAGTGCTACACACGTAGAGACAGGAATCATCACTTTTTTTATTCTCTGGTGATTTTCTCAGTCATGCAGCATGCACTGCACACACATAGCATATCAACATGACTCCTAATCTCTCCTGATTAACTTGATTGCAGTAGCATGATGTCAGCTGACACTCATGTGATGTAATCTGCAGCAATAGTGACAAGCTTTTTATAGACAGTTTAGCACAGCATTTCCGGGAGACGGTGAGTTGAGGTCTGAAACTTGAACCGTTTTGTCCTGCCGTGGTTCTCTAGGTTCGAGGTAAGTATAGTGTTTTCGGCATGCAGTTCCTCCAGTCTGCGAGCTTAACTCCCAGTATTTTGCATTTCCCGTGCTAAAGCTCTGGGGACCTCGAAAATCACTGTTTTGCAGGAACAGCTGGGGAGCGTAGATTTTTACTTGACCAGAACATGCTACCCTAGGTAGTGTGCATGTGATTCAAGTTTCATACCTTAACTCCCGGTATTCTGAAAATGCTGTGCTAAACTATTTATGTCACTATTGATGCAGATAAATGACATGAGTGTCAGCTGACATCATGTGACTGTGATCAAGTTAAATGTGTAGTCAGCGTATAAAAAGGGGCGTGCCAGGCAATAATCTATTAACTTTAGCGCACACCGTGACAAAATGGCGGTGTTCAAACTACTGTCTCTTCACTTCCTGAGCCGCTGGCTACCACGCATCCGTTTCCACGTACTAAACACGCTGCGTTTGTCCTAATAAAAGCCTCTCAATGCTGAATCAGCGCTTCTTGCGCTACTCGCACATGAATGTCTGCACCTCCAGCGGCCAAGAAACCGAGGGCCGGCGGCCCACGTTTGACTCAAGCAGCGAATGGAAGTTCTAAAGTCCGCTCTCGCTCCATGTCCATTGAAGCCAGTCAATCTAATAGCGAAGCTCTTTGAAATAGCTGATATTAATTATCTTGTTATTTCCATCAGCAGAGTCCTGAGGAACATCCTTGGAGGAAAACTGAGCCATACATCCAGCTTGCACGCACTTCACAATACGTATTATATACACGTGTCACGCGCGTGCGCACATTTTATTACCAATCGGTGTTACGCACCGCAGCTATGTTGTTCCAGCGTTGCGCTAGCGGTACAAACGAAGGCTCCATACACTTGCCTTCTGGTACATTTTTGAATTTTACCGCCGCCATGTTTGTGCCAGGCACCGCCCCTTTTATACGCATGCGCACGGAAGCGACTCTGCCTCTGCAATTGCGCGAGCTTCTAGCAGAACTTGCGCGCTCACAGCTCGCGCAATTGCAGAGGCGGAGTCGCTTCCGTGCGCATGCGTATAAAAGGGGCGGTGCCTGGCACAAACATGGCGGCGGTAAAATTGAAAAACGTACCAGAAGGCAAGTGTATGGAGCCTTCGTTTGTACCGCTAGTGCAACGCTGGAACAACATAGCTGCGGTGCGTACACCTCCTCCACTCTACTCCAGAACCGAGATGTACCTTCTCCACCACACGAATAATAGTGCAGTTACTCAGAGATTAGCTCGGCTAGCTTTCTAGGATATGTAGGCAAAAGACTGTGTGTTTTTAAAAGCTTGATACTTTGCGTATCTGTGAAAGACCAGCTGTCATCTTGCATATCTAGTTTGAACAAGTGGACTTAAAGTTCAAAAATGCTGACTTTACAAGTGTTTCAGCAACAGAGCACGCTTTTAACAGGGAAACTCCTAGGAATTTATAGGGTGTTGTAGCCTAGCAGACCCCACCTTTTTGGGAGAGGCCTGGTGCACTGCCTATACGCCACTTGTTCCTCAGGAATATTTTTATCACGAACCGCCATATCACAACATTGCATAGTAATGCATGGGTGCTAAGTGGTGCATAGCTTGATCTCTAGCATCGGAGAAGTCATAAAATTATAGAATACGTGTGTAATAGACCTAGTACTTCCTAGTATAGCGTATGTCCAAGTACATTACATTATCACTCATGTCCCGCATGCGTAATGTATCACTCATGCCATCGTCATCTAAATCACCCGCACATGCGCGGAAGATCAGAGTTGGGAAAGTCCAAAGTGCTAGAGGAGAAAGTGTTAAGAAAGTGAACCCCAGGAAAATCTTTGCAGATGGCTCGTGGCTCCGCAAGGCTAATGGTGTTTGTGCATGCGCAGGTGCAGGAACTTATTTTTGACACGGGTACAGACAGAAGCACTCTTTGCTTACCGCATCATGGGGTGCAACAGAGACGGGGATGCACTTTTAACACGATAGCTCGCTTTATAACCCTCTTATCTGCATATTTTGTAAATAAGGAGGCTTGCAACGTAGCAAAAGATTCAGAGTGTTCATCTACTTTCTGGCTGGCATCTAAAAACGTCAGCAGCTCCACAGCGGGGGAAAAATATTACCTGAAAATATGTTTTTTCCGTGACATAATCTACACTAAAGTCCAAACCTTTGGCGCACTACGCACGCATATAGGCATGCATGATTCTGCTGACTTTGCTGTACACACGGTCTCTTGCCAGCTCACTGAGAGTCTGTCACAGGCTAGTCTCGTGCCCAGACCCTCACGTGCTCCCACTCGAAAGAGGGTCTGGTACATAAGGTGCGATTTCTTAGTTGTGCTAAGTCAGCATGTGTATGTAAGTTGCGTAATTCAACCTGTCAGTCCCCGGCCAAGCACTGCTGTGGTTCTGTTTCACTGTGCACGCGTAGAACCAGTCGGCATTGCAAATCGCCCTTATGTCACACGATAGTTTGAAGTCCGGCAATCTCATTGGGTACTCAGTTTTCCTAACATGCTGACTCAGCACAACCAAGAAATCGGACCTTATATACCAGATCCTCTTTCGCGCAGGAGCACGTGAGGGTCTTGGCATGAGACAAGTTCACAGGCTAGCTACACTACTAGAAAGCATCGAGAGTCGATACCCACTCTGCATTGCAACTTCTGCTGCCTCCAAGGCAGGCCTGATCTGGTTGAGTTACGTAAGCCTGTTCTGATTTGCATATTGGCTTTTCATTCCTTTTCACATCTAACAGTACATTTACGAAATTCACCAAATTCCAAATCAAGCCAGTGTAGCGCTGAACGTTTTGGTATCTCTATTTTGTTTTTCGTTGCACGTGGAGGCATTGAATATGGTAACATACAGACACACACTAGTACCGCTGTGCAATGTGCGCTGATGGTAAAAAATGAAATGCTGCGCCATCTGGACATTCCTTGAGGTATTGTGACAACTAGACATCGTATAGAACTTCGATGTGACCATGTACGTGAAAAGGGACTGGAAGTTAGGGGAAAAAATTTTTTCCCTTTTTCTTATTCCCTAAATACAGCCCCTTTTTCTACCGCTGTGAAGACCAGCTCAAAGTATTTTTAAGAAACTGACAAAGTTTTTTACGAAGCACGGAACGTGGATATGGCAACTTTTACCGTCCAGCCGCCTATTTACGACGTCAAGTTTAGACATTTGTGACAATTGCGGCGAGTAGCGTGCAGCCATTCTTCTACAGCCTAAGGTTGTTCCCGAAAGTGACTAACTACTTTTCCATCGGAGGGGAAGACACGAGGAGAAGAAGGCTATCAACTGCACAGCTACTAGTAACCTTATGAGAGTCTGCGATCAAGACAAATGTTTTTCTTCCTGTGTGTTTCTCCACGTGCGAGCTAGTGCTGAAGCTAAAACAAGTGCTGTTTTGCCTGTTTACTCAAGTGACTTGTGGTCCCTTATGGCGTACATGGTCACTTTTGTTAATATTGATTGCTTTTAATGTATGTCATTTTTAAATATGTTATTGTATTAGGAGCTGATTCAAAACGCAAAATATGCAATATCAATGTGTCGGAAGATTGGAGCCCGTGTCTACGCCCTGCCTGACGACCTGGTAGAAATAAAGCCCAAGATGTGTCTCACTGTCTTTGCTTGCCTTATGATTAGGGCCAAGACCGGAAAGAAGTAGTTTTCTACAACCATATAAGTCAATAACCTTTCATTGTTGTAGAGTTGTACAATGTTTGCTACTGTTATGATTTTTATTTTATTACACCTAACATAACAATAACCATGCTGCTAAAGTGCATTCAAAGTCTGGACCCTTGAAGACTTGAATTCAGGCACCTTGCGCGCTCCAAAGTGTAACTGTACATGCCTAAGCCTGAATCCTCACCAGTAACGAACCATTCACTTACTGCCACTGCTATGAGAATGTATGCAGGAGTAGATGACCAGCTATCATGGAGCATACTGGCATAGAAGCATTGATAGTGTATATACACACCTACGGAGAAACAGCCTTCGCTTGAATAATGAGCATGTAGATACCATACACTGAAAACAGAGTGAAGTCATACATGCTGCTAATGACTTTGTAGGGACATATCAGTCGTGGTTGAAGTACTTCCTCACAACAGAGAGTATTTTACTTCAGCAACATTTCGTCTGTGGTAGCACAGCCTTCTTTAGGCAGATACAGAAACGAAAGTGGTGAAAACTGAAAGTACAGCAACCAAGAACAAAACGGTGCATAGTGGAATGTAGCTGATGAGGTATAGAGTGGGTTGTGAAGGTTCATAATCCATAGTACTGCCTGAACATTGCTACATGGTTGAGTATGGTTCCTGGGCTAACTAGCTAGCTGGGAAAAATAGGCACCCTTGAGAATGGCGGAAAAATGGGCGAGCCTGGCAGGCTGATGCATGTGCATAAGTGGAATGCGCTAAGCTAAACGCGGCGGACTACACAGCTCGCAAGGTATTATTAGTACAGCCATCATCAGCAGACTTCAAGGGATGAGAGTTTAGAGGCGAACCATCGTCATCAAGCAAGATGGCTGTCAAAAAACGTGTGAACTTGCACACCTGCTTTCCATGTGTGGATGTAATAAGTGCTAAGCTCCAGTTGTGAGAGTAGTATTTTACTTACATGATGTAGTCTAGTTAACCCTCGGCGCGCATGCGCAGCGAGGGTTGCGTGTCAGTCAGTCTGTCTATATACGCGCAACGAGATAACAAAATAGCGATACCAACGGGTTCGACGCTACACTGGCTTCATTTAAAAAAAGGCGATTTTCGTATACCAACTGCGTTCAAAAGTTATGGCGTGAAAAGCAAGTGAACAAGCCAATATGCAAATTAGCGTAGGCTTACCTCGACCCCGTCCGCTCGCTCTGTGTATCTTGCAGGCGCAAGAAGTCACAACGAAGGGCGTGTATCGACACCCGCATGCTATCTACCTAGCCCGTGTCAGACTCTCCGCGAGCTACTAGCGGAATACCACGAGTGATACAAAGCCCAGCCCATCAATTAGTGCTACCGCGCATGCGCAATTCGCCGAGGGTTTGCACTTTAGTGCTTTTCATTTTGGTGGCGATTCAGCTACTTTAGACTGAGTAAAACAGAATGGCACCACTCCAATGACAGTGGGTGTTCTAGGAATGTGCACGCGCATATTTTGCCTCGCGCCTGCCAGCCAATGCGTAAACAGACAGTGCGACCCGCTCGTGCGCGCGCTCTACTGACTGTGCGCGCTGCGACCGATTGAGGCCGCTCTTGCGCGCGCTCTACTGACTGCGCGCGAAGCCAGACTGCCTACGAATCCGTGACTAATTGACATTCTTAAGCGTTATCGACAAGTACGTACGTACGCATATCCAACCCAGAGTAGTTGCCTCGCGCTAATGCGCTCGGCAATAATGTAGGGGTGTGGAAAACAAGTAAAAACAAAGTCCATTAGGTTTTGTAACTCGCAACTTTTTCAGCTCTAAGCACACTCTTTCTGAGATTACGTCGTTGATTACACCTGTTAGGGGTGCAGAATCTCTGGGTCTGGTTTTGCTGCCTGTGGGTGGAGTCATGTCAAGGTTACTGACGCTTGACTGAGAGAATAAAGTTTACTGAGCAATTACTAACAGGGAAGTGAAGAATTATCGAGAGAAGAAGGCAAAGGAGTACTGGAGTTTACTGAGCAATTAGTGACACGTAAGATTACTGACAAAGTTAAGGGATTGTAGTAGTGTAAAAGGGCCAAATTTACAATGTTACTAAAGATAGAAAAAAATTCAAAGTGTGGATTATAGGGATGCCATAAAAAATAAGGAGACAAGACAGGGATGACCTAGTGAACATGATGCAGTAGTACAATGGATGATGGCTACATACTTTGAACTGACATCGCTTGCTCGTGTAAAATTTCCTCCACACAAGCCCTTGCAAGTACAGATGGGTGTTTCTGATTTTCTCGTGATGCAACCTTTCACACTAGCATGAATCAACAGATCACTTGGACTTGGCAACATTATGAGGCTGTATTTCAAGTTTCCTATTCTCCCTCTTTAGGCTGTGTAGTCTGTAGTTGATTGGAGCAAATATGGTTCCTTAATCTATTGACAACCATCGTAGTGCGAAGATAAAAACATTCGAACATGGTGAGTGTACAAACAGAAATGATCTGGAGCGTATAATCTGTGTCTGATAAAGTTGGGCCCTTCATATTCCAACCAACTTTAACGTAATGATATTTGGTCAGTAAACATTATTGTACACATAAAGGTAGGGTTAGACAGAGAGTTTAGAACACTAAGGTAGAATGATTAATGAATATGGCTGTGGGTCCTTAATCTATTGACGACCATAGTAGTATATACGAGGATGAAAACAATCGAACATGGTGAGTGTACAGACAGAAATGATCTTGAGCGTATTATCTCTGTCTGATCAAGTTTGGGTTCTTAATACTAACGATTTGAAGTTTGGGTTCCTTAGCTAATACTCTTCATTTAACGATAATTATTCCAACCTACATTAATGTGAAGATATTGGAACTCAGTAATCATATTGTACACATAGGTAGAGTTAGACAGAGAGTTTGGAACATTGAAGTTTGTGTGATTAATTATGTTTGGCTGTGGGTCCTTAATCTATTCAATCGCAGTACAAGGGTAAATACTGCTGAACAGGGTACGAACATTAAATATTTATGTTGAATGATTAATGAAATATGGCAGTGGGTCCTTAATAATTATATTGACAACCATATATTAATAATAATAATGTCAGGTGGCTGCCATAGCACTAGGCCATAGACCACGCACCCCAGAGCAATGGGCGGAACCGTTAACAAACGAACATACAATATGAACATGAGGTGTCTGTCTCACCTCCCAGACACCTCAACTCACCCCTTCCACCAGCGACACCCTGCAGCTCCACAGACGCAATCTGAGACTGGGTCTGTTGTACGCTGGGATTATCGCTGTAACCTAACCTTCCTTAGCTCCCAAACATCCAAAATAAACCTTTTAACAAAGCCAAGCAAAAAGAACCAAATTTATCCTCCCACAGCTCACTACCCAATATAAAGGATGCTTTTTCCTGAAACTATCAAGCGACTGGAAATGCTCAAACCCATCATCCCCAAGCTTCCCCTACAGGGCAACTAAGGCTAAGACTACTATAATTATGCTGGACACTCCCACAACACATGACTCACACTTTCACACTCATCATTACACAACAGGCACTCCTTCATCCCCTCCCTCGCCCTATGCCTACCAAATTGCTCATTTAGCCCATGCGTGCCTGACCTGAACTTAAACATTAATGCATCACTTTTCCTATGCAAATACTTCTTGAACTCTACCACCTTGTTGAATGTCTTATACAATAACAGCTTTACGTTGCTATTTAGCCCCTCATTACACTTTCTAATCTCACTCTCATTAATACTGTCCCCAACTATAGACAGAAAGCCCTTCAAGGAGCAATCCCCATTTTGAAACCACTCTACCTTGTCAAGATCTAACGATGAAAAGAGATCATCAATGACCTTACTCCAACACTTCCTCTGCCTGCCTCTCCGTAGATTCCGTTCCTGTTTAAAAAAGCTTCTTCGGATACCTTTTACCAGCTAACCACTTGAACTTATTCTTATCCCTACGCCCTTGTAACGTATCAAGCCCCATATCCCCCCTAACAGTTTCATTACACGAACACCCAAGAATACGATTAGCTCCTCCCAGCATCACGGACTCTAACGCAGCTGCCTGAGTCTTACTGGCTTCCGATGCCTCACTCCCATACTCTAAAGTTGGCCTAACCACCGCCAGCAACAACAACCTGTTTGCACTCAAATTATCTAATTACACTATGCAACTGATTAACCTTCTTTCCACCATTGTCTAACACATTCTTGATATGCACATCCGATGCACCAGTACTAGTAAAATCAACACCCACGACAGTGAGCATGCACCACATCTATAAGAGTCTGAAACTGATCATTAGACTCACTAACACCAACGAAGTCATCTGCAAACTCCACCCTACTTAATTAAATCAATCCCAATCTCAGCTTCCTCTACCTCCCTCAACAACCCATTGATAAATACGGAAAACAAAATTGGTGATGAGCTACATCCCTGAGCTACCCCCTGTTCCACATCAAATGCCTCTGACCATTCCCCATCCAACAACTCAGCACTCTTTGATATACTCGTACATCTTCTTTATGACCCTCCTCTTACCCCAAATTTCCACAACTTAAATCACAGGCCGTTACGCCACACACTATTGTATGCCTTCTGCACATCTAGAAAGAATGCATAATGTCTCCTTCCCCTCCTTTAGTCTACCCTGCCCGAGTTCATTCAGCGTATAAATATTATCAACACAACCCCTTCCAACCCTAAACCCAGCCTGACCCTCATGCAATGCTTTGCCCTTGTCTAAATGATTCACCAACCTATTGTTCAAAACCTTACAAAAGACCTTCTCAACCACACTCAGCAGCGTGATACCCCTATAATTCCCAGGATCCTCCTTATCTCCCTTCTTAAACAGGTTAACTATGACACTCGAAGGCTAGGTTCACAATATGTCGCATTCGGTTCACAATAGCCTTGTCGCGTCCTGCCCCGAAGATAAAAATGGATTTTTCCTTGGTGCGACCAAAGCAATGCGGCTTAAGCTTCACCAAAGCTTAGCAATGCTAGTCAGCCAACAGCTGTACATTATTCTGCAGAAGTAGTGTTAGGAGTAGCTAGATCTATAATTTTTAACCTTGCTTGCAG